GCTTGGGTTTATGTCCAGACTCCCAATTTTATTCCATTGTTCTCTTTGTTTTGATGCCAGTAACACACTGTATCAATGATGACAGCTTTACAGTATAGCTTGAAATCAGGAAGCATGATGTCTCCTGCTTCGTTCTTTCTCATGATTTCCATGGCTATTCAGGTTCTTTATGGTTCCGTAACAATTTTAGGAGTGCTTTTTCTACTTCTGTAAAAAACACCCGTGGAATCTTGATAGGATTGCACTGAATCCATAGGTGGCTTTGACAGTATTGACATTTTAACATTGTTAATTCTTCCAGTTCATGAACATGGGATACTTTTCCATTGATTTGTGTCTTCTTCAACTTCTTTCATCAATGTCTTTTAGTTTTCAGGTACAGATTTTTTACCTCCTTTGTTAAATTTTTCCTAAGTATTTTACTGTTTTTGATGCTAATGCTCTAGTTAGGACTTCCAGCACTGTGTTGAATAGGAGTGGTGAGAATGGGCACCCTTGCCTTGTTTTGATCTTAGAGGAAAAGCCGTTACCCTTTCACCATCGAGTATATTGTTAGCAGTAGTCTTGTCATATACGGCCTTTATTATGTTGAGATATGTTCCTTCTTTGCCTAATTTGTTCACATTTTTTATCATGAATACATGTCGAATTCTGTCAGATGCTTTCTCTGCATCTATTGGGATCATATGAATTTTTTCTTTCATTCTGTTAATTTAACATACCACATTGATTGATTTGCATATGTTGAACCATCCTTGCATCCCTGTGATAAATCCCACCTAATTATGGTGAATGATTCTTTTAATGTGCTGCTGAATTTGGTTTAGCAGCATTTTATAGAGAATTTCTGCATTTATGTTCATCAGGGATATTGGCTTGTAGTTTTCTTTTTTAGTAGTGTCCTTTCCTGGTTTTGGTATGATGATAACGCTGGGCTTGTAAAATGAGTTTGGGAATGTTCTTTCCTCCTTGAGTTTTTTAGAAGAGTTTGAGAAAGGCTGATGTTAATTCTTCTTTAATGTTCAGTAAAATTCACTAGTGAATGCATCTGGTCCTGGGCTTTTCTATGTTGGGAGACTTTTGACTATTATGAATTTGCTAAGACTTTTTTTGTAGTCTAACATATGATCTAATCTAGAAAATGTCTAATGTGTGCTTGAGAATAATATGTATTCTGCTGTTGTTAGTTAGAATGTTCTGTATATGCCTGTGAGGTCCATTTGGTTTATAGTGTTGTTCAATTCTGCTGTTTCCTTATTGTTCTCCATCTGAATGATCTGTTCATTGTTGAGAGTGGGGTATTAGTGTCCTCAATGATTACTGTGTTACTGTTTATTTCTCCTTTTAGCTGTTAGTTTCTGCTTTATATATTTAGGTACTCCCATGTTGGATGCACAAATATTTACAACTGTTATATCTTCTTGATGTATTGACCCCTTTATCATTATATAATGACCTCCTTTGTCTTTTTTTTCATCATTTCCACTTTAAAGTCTATTTTGTCTAAAAAAATTAAAAATGGAAGGAAGGAAGGAAGGAAGGAAGGAAGGAAGGAAGGAAGGAAGGAAGGAAGGAAGTCTATTTTGTCTGATGCAAGTATAACTACCCCTGCCTTTTTTGGTTACCATCTGCTTGAAATGTCTTTTTCTATCCCTTCACTTTCAGACTATGTGTATCTTTTCGAAGCTAACATGAGCCTCTTGTAGGCAGCATATCACTGGGTCTTGTTCTGCTATACACTCAGAAATTCTACGTCCTTTGAGGATTTAATCCACTTACATTTAAAGTAATTATTGATAAGAACTTACTAATGCCATTTTGTTAATTGTTTTCTGGATCCAATGTTCCTTGTTTCTTATTCTGCTGTCTTTTTTGTGCTTTGATGCCTTTTGGTATCAATATGTTTTAATTTCTTTATCATGCTCTTTTGTGCAATTACTATAGATTTTCCCTTATGGTCACCATGAGGCTTACATAGACTACCTTAAACTTGTAACACCCTATTTTAAACAGATAATAACTTCAACAGAATTAATAAATTTTACACTTTTACTTCTTCTCCCTCTCACATTTTAGGTTATTGCTGTTACAATTTATATTTTTTATACTATGTAACAACAGATTATTGTAGTTATGGTTATTTTTACTATCTTCTCTTTTTTTTAAACTTTTAAACAAGAGTTGTAAGTAAAGTGCACCACTATTACCATATTGCAGAATCTATGATTGCATATTTACCACTACCAATGAGATTTATGCTACTTTTTAATGTTTTATGGTGTTAATTATTGTTCTTTTACTTCCACTCCAAGAAATCCCTTTAGCATTTCTTGTAAGAAGATCTGGTGGTAATGAACTCTCTCAGGTTTTTATGATGGTAATAATGAATTCCCTCTGAATATTATGATCACCTTGACTCCAATACCTCCGCAGTCTGCACATAACTGTATTTAAAATTTAGCTCTTGAATTAGAAGAAAAAACATCTAGAGTATAAGACAGCATGTCTAGTGAAATACAATCCCTAACATGCAATAAATTTCACAATATTCAAGTTCAGTAAAAATTACTGGTGCTTGGGAAAATAAATTACTGGTGCTTGACACCAAGATACAATGACTACCTGAAATTCATATTGTGCTCTTCCACACTTCTGTGCCTGGGCATTCAATGGTAATGGGTATGCAGAGGAAGTGAATTTTACTGAACACAACTCTGGTCTAGAAATCAGAAGATCCAGATTCTAGTTCTACCATGAGTACAAACTAGTTGTATAACCTACAAATGAGGAATACAGAGAGGTTTTGGAATGACTATTTTTAAGTTCCTATACAGCTCTAAAAGTTTTTATGACCATATGGTACAATACCACCAACAGTGCTTCCTTAATACACAGACTAAATGATTTAGTCGTTTTAATGCATTTTAATACTTTCCTAAGTGACAGTCTTAGTCTAAATGACATACTGTGTTTTAAGTAACTAGGCTGAACTAGAACAGCTCATCTCCCAATGAAGTCAAATAATTGTAACTTATCTATGCTAAAAACCCTGTCATGTTTTTATCAAAATCTGTCCCCCAAAGGTTATTAAAGTCACGTCTTTTATATAGTACCCCAAGGAGCTCAGAGTCTGAAAGAGACAGACACAAATACAAATAATAACGAAGTTAAGCATGAAAATAAATATTTACAATATTTTACATTTTACAATGTGAAGCCACACTATGAATCATTTTCCTCATGTACCTCATTCAGCCTAGACCAAAGGAGAGTTCTGCTCCCACTAATTAGGTCCAAGTTTTGATTCACAAGCATCTGTGAAATCAACAAGTAAAATGTACCCCATTTGAACCTTGGAAAATGTCTGGAGTATTAGGACTGTAGTTTAACTCAACTAAGGGCTTACAAACTTTGAGTCAAGAAACCCACAGGTGTTTAATTTGATTAATGGCAAACTGAAAAAAACTGGTAATTTGAAGGTAACTCTCAAGCATGAAGGATAATTCTAGGGCCACTAAATAAATGTTGAATTGGTCCTGACTTTCAGAGATTTTTCTGCATTTCAGGTATAGCACAAACCATTGAGAACCTACAGTTTATAGTAAAGATTAAACACACATTAAGTAAAACTGTCTGCTGCTTTGCTTTGTGAGCTACCAAAAAGTGGACAAGGGCATCAAAGTATTCTAACCACCCATGGGAGCTTTGATCAGTTTCTTGGCTTTGAACAACTAATACCCCTAAGAATCATAGTTCCTTGGAAGCCTAGTAGATCTTAGACATAAAATCATCAGAGAACGATACTTTGGGGAGGATGACCTTCTACTTGCTGTCTGTTTTGGAGTTTTCCACTTCTTCTATAGTCAATTACGGTAAGTACATTATTCTAGAAAAGGTCCACGTCAGTTAAATTTTCAAATGTGTTAGCTATTTGAACTATAACTAACACATTCACCTATGTTCTATTACGCTTTCACTGAACTATAATCAAAGATTGTGTCCTGCACAATGTCTACTTTGGAAAATTTAAAGTTCTTCTATATCCTAGGATTTGATCAACTTTTTATTTCATGTATATTTAAAAGAGTACATACTATAGAGTAAAAGATTCCATAAAGCTATAAAATAATCCTTTTTATATGTGTACTTCAAATTCTCTTTTAGTTTCACTGTTTAGTTAAATCGATCTACTTGAGGATCTTTCACGATACTATAGAATTTGAATATTTCTCTTTTCTTCTACTTGTTCTTGGTTTATATATTTTATGCGATGCTCCTAAATATTCATGGTTGTTGATCATCTTATTAGCAGATTATAATTTATATTAATCTAAAATATCTCCCTTTATACCATTTAACCTTAATTTATTCAGTTATACTTTAATGTTAAGTTTGTTCATAGACTGGATTATCTTGCCTAAGACATAATGAAATACAGGAACTGCACAAAAATAAAAGTTTTAGCACAGAATTTAATGAAGTTTCTTTAATTTTGTTTAGCACTTACAAAAACATTTTTCTGAAGATTCTCATAAGCAGTGTTTTCTTTTAACAAAGTCGTACTTTACCTTGATTATAACACTGAGCCTAAAAAAAAAAAAAACCTTAAAAGCTGGCAATTTTTCAAGTCCAAAGATTAAAGCAGCCATACAATAATCTGTTACATACTACACAGAGATCTTAATATAAAAATAATAAAAGGCACTCTGTATTTCACATAAAGAACACTTGTCCACTTTGATAGTTCTACTGAGGCAGAAATTTTTCTTCAATGAGAACTTACATACTAATACCTTCACCTGTATACATCATTTTTTCCTTAACCAAGAACGCAATTTGAGCAGTTTAGACAGAACTAGGATTTTCATTTTGATTGTGGAACATTCTAGGCCATAAAGCAAAAATGCCAAACAAAAACTTCATTAACACCACGCTTACAACTATGTAGGCCATAATATTTATATGATCCTTGTACGGTACAAAGGGGAAGGGAATCTTACCTACGTCAGTTATGAGAATCGGCTCCTGCAAAGGAATATCGGGGACCGGAACGTTGGCCTTGCCGACTCGAACCTTTGCCGGTTTGCGCTGGTGCCTCATCTTTCTTAATTCCGTGTGTTTAAAGTGAGAAGCAATGTGAGTCTTCCTATGGCCTGAGGTTCGAAACTTTTTGTCACAGTGAGGACAAGCAAAAGGTCTGACCCCTGATAAAAATAAAAAGATACTGTAGAATTATTTCAAGAAAACACATCTCAACAACTAATGCCAACACAAAATTCCAGTATTTTAATACTGATTTGAATATTCATCATTTCATGCTTATAATTTCAGGGATATTATAAATTCAACTTTTTTTCCCTTGTTTGCAGACAGTGCATATTTAGATGCAATAAGAGCATTTTAAGTAAAAAAGAACACTTGTTAATTTTGCATTGTAAAATATTTAAACCTTAAAATATTTAAATATGCAGTCCTTAAGAATACTAGAGTGTGTGAGACTGCTCTCCCTCTCAAACCATCGTCTGCGAACTGGAATAACAGTGCCTGCCTCCAGGCTGGTTGCCAGGAGCGAACACACTCAGGTCGAAATAGCACTTAGCAGCTCTGAGCATTTAGCAAACAAGCAGTGAACAGTAGTTGTTATTAGTTGTATGTAATGCTGCTGATGATGATGACAACGACAGTTAATAATTTCCTCTTAACGATTCTCCACTATCAATTCGCTTTCCTGAAGGAAATTTCCTTCACTTACAGTTTCATTGATAAATGAAACTGGAGAGTCCTAAGAATGGCATATAACAAATCTGACACACTTTAGCGTTTTCAAACCCTCATCCACATGGTCAGCTCGGCCCAGGAACCCCAGGTTCATAGGTGAGGTTACTGCTAATGGGTATGGGGTTTCTTCCACGGGGGAGGGGCGATAAAAATGTCGAAAATAGATAGTTGGGTGGGTTGCACAATTTCTGAACAAAGTGAATTCCGAATTCACTTGAAGAGTAAATTTTATGATCTGTGAATTATATCTCAATAAAACTATTACAAGGACGCCTGGGTGGCTCAGTTGGTTAAGCAACTGCCTTCGGCTCAGGTCATGATCCTGGAGTCCCGGGATCGAGTCCCACATCGGGCTCCCTGCTCAGCGGGGAGTCTGCTTCTCCCTCTGACCCTCCCCCCCCCTCATGTGCTCGCTCTCTCTCTCTCTCTCTCTCTCTCTCAAATAAATAAATAAAATCTTTAAAAATAAATAAATAAATAAATAAAACTATTACAAAATTACTGCCTAAATATGAACGTTTTCATGCCTTAATACTGATTACAAAATATCCGAAAGGTAGAGTAGGTGTTAGGTTTTCCCTCGCTGCCCAAGGCCTCGGCACAAATGCCCCACCTGAGGCGTCTCTTCCATCGAAAGGCCCGCCTCCTCTACCTCCAAGTGTGGCTGCCCACGAGCACCATCTCTCGGCTCTTCCCTAAGCAGTACTGCTTCCTGCCTCCCTCATTAAGCCATCAGCTCCCTGAGAATCAAAGTCCCATCGGCTCTCTCTTCACTGGTAAACACACACCCGGAGCCTCGCCTCTAGAAGGTAATCATAAATACTTAGGCAAAGAAAGAAACACGAGCCCTCAAAGTGTTCCACTACTGTCCGCAGACCTTGTGACCCCATGTCCCCGGAGGGCCCCCGTGGCACCTGTGTGCAAGCGGATGTGCACTTTGAGGCTCCCCGAGGTGGAAAAGCTCTTCATGCAGTACTGGCACTTGAAGGCCTTAATGCCCGAGTGTGTTTTGATGTGAGCGGTCAGGGTGCTCTTCACGGCGAAGGCCCGGAAACACTGCGGACACTTGAAGGGCTTCTCGTGGGTGTGAATGCGGATGTGGCGCACCAGGTCACTAGGCTTCCGGAACTCCTTCGTGCAGTAGGGACACACATGCCACCGAACGCCATTCTCCTCGCGGATTGAACCTGCAGCCAAATGAAGAACACCAACAGCCCAGCTATGATACCAAATATGAAGGCACTTGAATGTCTTTCTAGGGTTAGATTAAAACAATATACCGTACCTATAAAAAGCTATATACGTTTTGCCACAGCAGAAGATAGATGATCAATTATGAAAAAAGTTGACATTTCCATGATCACTGAAATTATTGAAGACTATGATTTAATCTTGCAGAAAATCTGGACAGTCCCATGAGAACACAAATCATAGCCTGTGAGAGGTAAGAGCACTAAGTGGACAGGTAATATACATCAATAGCTGGAGGCCAAACTCAGTCCACTGTAAATGTGAATAAAAGCAATGTGAGCAAATGACCCCAAAATTAACTCAAAGAATACTAAGAGAAGGAAAGAAGGTGGAATAAGCATTGTTTGAATCTATCTGATGTCATGGAATAAAATGTAATACACATGCAAATAATTAGGAGATGGTGAATTTTCATGCTGTAAAAAGGCACTCAAATAGTTACGACAAAGAAACAGTACGTATGATATATACTAGTTCATGATCAAATGTAAAAGATTCTTTTGTAACTTTAAATATTATTATTCCACTTTCAATCAGGTTTAAAACTATTCCTATCGAGAACAAAAATCACAAGCCTAATTTATGGAAATATAATAAATGATTTCTAAATTACAAAAATTTTAAAAACAAAATTCAGCAGGATCACTTTTTATCTTTCATAATTTTTTATTCGATTTACTCATCTGTAGTTAAATAGACATCTACAATGACGTAAACAACCCAGTTGAAATTACACAGATTTGGGCCAAGTTAATGAAATTCATCAGAAAATATTAACTGTTTATTTAACTGTGTCTGTACAGACATAGCTTTACTGGGGGAAAATCTTTTATTTGCTTCTCTAATATTAGTAAATGCAAGGAATTTTCCTTATGTTAAGTGAATCTATAAGGAAAGAAAATGTGTTTTCCTGAATACAATGCTCTTTTCAAGACTAATTAACATAGGAAATGAGGTTAGGTAAAAGAATTAAAAAGGGTATTTTTTTAGAAAACAGTCACACAATGGAAACCAGGACAAACCACAGGGAAAAAAGTAGGAAATAAGGGAAGTGGCTTTAAAAAGGAGAGAAAGACATTTATTTTATGGTGATCTTGTTCATATTACTGAAGTCTGAAATTTAAGACCGTGTAATACCAATAGATAAAAATTAAGTCATAAAAGTGTAATAATTATCTAATGGTCTTATGACAAATCAGAAAAGCAAGGTATAAAAAGGTGGGGGAACTATAGTACCTATTAGCTAAACTTGGGAAATTCCCACCCCATCAGGTTTTTTCCGGGCAAAAATGAAAACTTTATCTTTAATTGCCCACGATGACCTAACATAAAACTGTCATCAGGCTCTAATTATTTCTGGGAATGGACTGGAACAGAAATTAGACTAGCAGCCCTGCAGATGTCTCCAAAGGTGGCCCACATATGTTTTGTTTGGACCACATACTATTAGAAAAAAAATTAAATCCAGATATTCGACCCTTTGACAAATTGAAAGATCTGGAAAACCAGATCTGCATTCCTACACAGCAAATCTCCCTGGTGCTGGGCAACTGCCTTTCTCGTCCAACATATTAATAAATTTAAAAGTAAAAACGTATATTAGAATCATCTTCAAGATGAAAAGGCAATTACTAAAATTTAACATCTAGTTTTAACTTTTAAAAAACTGTCTAAAAACAGGAGGAGCTGAATAAACATATCTCAATACAACATCTGACTGAATAGGAAAATAATAAAATCAGTCCTATTACAATCAGGAAAAAGTCCACTATCACTGCATTGAATTTACTGTATTCTAGTGATACAAGCCAATGAAATTGGATAAGATATAGAAATATACAGTATAAACTATAAGGAAAAGGTAAAATCATTATTTACAAATGATATGATTATATGCCTTTAAAAACCTAAAACTAAGAAAGAGGCCCACATTTTAATACCTGGAAATCAACATCATCCATATCTAACAAAATCCAGAAGAAAGTTTTAAACTACTATTAAAATATGAAAAAAATATAAAGATCTGAATAAATGGAAATACACACCCTATTCTTGGTACAAAGACTAAAAGTTATAAAGACATCAATTCTCACTGGTTAAATCACTTATTTACAAATACCAATAGGATTTTTTTAAAAACTAGGGCTCTGGAACTCTAGCAGACAATTCTAAAGTACACATGAAAAAGTAAGTATGTGACAATCGTCAAAAATACACTTTGAAAACAGGGTAACTGGGGAGGACTAGGCCTGCTAGTCACAAAGGCATACGTCAGAGCTACCAGAACACATGAATAAAAAGATTCATGCCCAGAGCACAGTCCAGACAAGACCCATAGAGAGCTGTGGGTAGAAAGAATGGTATGGTGGCATGGTGTTTGGACAGAGGGGTGTCTGTCTGCAAATAAAAAATAAAACTGAGTCAAAGGTTTAGTTTAAAATATGAAAGCAGGAAAGTGCTAGATAAGAGAGGTTACTCTCCATAACGTCAGTTGTCAAAGTCTAAGTATCATACAAGTCCAAAACCCGCGGAACATGGACAAATTTGGCTATGGAAGTACAAAACACTTCTCCCTTTTAACTCAAAAAGACAAATTAGAAGAGAATATATGCTCTCAAAATACTGTCATCCTTAATATATTACAGCAAATAAAAGTCAAGAGTCAGCCAAACAGAATAATGCAGGTGGCTCTTTAACATGAAAAGCTGCTCAGCCTTTGACTTCTTTTAAGAGAAATGAAATTAAAACTACAGTAAGAAACCATTTTTAACCTATCGATGAGTAAAAGGGATCCCTAGATATGGACAAGAACCTGTTCAAAAGGCTCTGAGCAAACAGGCGCTCCACACAGTGCTGCCAGGAACACAGACGGACACAACTGCACAGGAGGAAAATCAGCAATATTCACCACAACTTCTTAAGTACGCACGATTTTTTTTTCCTTTTTATCAAGCACATTAGTGATACAAATAATGAAATCTGCATAAGATCTGTGGACTGGATCAATTTTAACACCCTGATGTTGATGACTGTCCTATGATTATCGAAGATAGTATATCTTGGCCTTAGGAAATACACACTAAAGTATTTAGACTCAAAGGGATTTTATATAAATTTATTATTGTTTGTATTAGCAAAAGCCTGCAAATAACCTAAATAATTATTTATCCATACAAGGGAATAATCCCCAGACATTTCGTAAAAGAAGGTACCAGGTAGCAAAAAAGTAAACTGCAAAAAATATATACATATACTGTATGCCCCCCATCCTGCTAAACACCAATAGATACACAATATATAGTAACATGCCCTTGCTCATTTAAAAACCACAGAGAGGCCACGAGCTGCCCAGGCCCTAGGGGTACATGGAGGACAAAGATGAACAGGGGGTTGTTCACGACACACCGTTTTAGATCTTTTGAATTATGTGACATGAGCCAGTTACACCTATTTAAAAAAATAATTTTAAAATATACGTGTTCCCTCAAGCAGTTACCATGTATCAGGCACTATTCGAATGGCTTGCATGGATTTTCTCATTCGATTCTCTCCCATTTATTCTGTCACTGCCCCATTTCAAAGATGACAAAGCTGACATTTTATTTTGTTAAAAGATTTTATTTTTAAGTCATCTCTACATCCAACGTGGGGCTTGAGCTCACAATCCCGAGATCAAGAGTCACAGGTTCCACTGTCTGAGCCAACCAGGAGCCCCTAAAGCTGACATTTTAAAGGTTAGCTAACTTGCCCAAGGTCAGGCGCCAGTTAATGGAAAAGTCAGGGCACATACTGAAGTCTTTAATTCCAGAGTCTGAGTATAATTTTCTCACAAACATCTGTCCTCTGGCTCTGCTTCAAGGAGAGCATTTACTGTGCCCCAGGTGCCACTGCAGGCAGACTCCTGCCCTTGAAGGGCCTCAGGTATGCAGACAGAGCTACACATGTGCTGAGACAGGAACCTGCATTCGTGTACATGGGCCAAGACCGTGTGGATTCGTCCCACAGGGTAAGAACACTCAAAAACGCCTGCATTCGAGGGGCACCTGGATGGCTCAGTTGGAAGAGCATGCAACTCTTGATCTCAGGGTTGTGAGTTTGAGCCCCACATTAGGTGAAGAAATTACTAAATAAATAAATAAATAAAATCTTAACCAAAAAACAAAAGTCTGCATTGGAAAGACAGCAGGGCCTGGACTACCAGGCAAAGAAGAAGCAAAAGCCAGGTATGAAGTTCCGGAAACGTCAAGTTCACAACGGCCAGAGCACGAGATGTCAGGTGCGGACGAGCAAGAGTCCAGCTTGGGGCGGACAGGGTAAGATGCCGGGAAACCTTCGCGCCGCGGAAGATCTGCAGCAGAAGGAAAACAAATGTATCCAAGACGCGTCCTCCGCGTTCTTCAACCAGGCTCCACACGAGAGCAGCTACCGGGAACGCAGCCAGCTCCGTCCTCAGCGCCAACTGTGGCCGTGGTGGAGAATGGGGTGACAACGGGACAGGGACCCGGCCCTGCAGGTGGGAGGCAGGACTGAGTGACAGGAAGACAGCTGTGGACTGTTCAGTGGGACCAGAGGGCACCCACTGTGCTCAGAGAACTCTAAGTTCAGCGGTAGGGATGGAGAGGAAGGCTCTCCTGGGGCCACATCCAAGTGCTGGCTCAGACACCAGAAACAGGGTCCTGGCTGATTCCCAGCAACTAAAGATTTCCCCAGATGCCGCAGGTGCATGCAGAAGCTCCAGCCCAGGGAAGAGGGGAGAGTCATAGAAAGTTGTCCTGCTTTCAAGCAGCAAAACCTCAAGTTAAATATAAATACTCAGACCTAACTCCTGTTCAACAGCAACTAATCAGGGAGATGCTCATATCCTGGGATTCAGGTTCAGATGCTGCATCTCCAAAGAGAGAGACCTTCGAATGAAGTAAAGCAGCCCAAGTCTCCC